ATATTTACACCTTAGCAGTAGATTGAATTTCCCTCGCTGTCATATCCAAGGCAAGAGCATAACCTGAAACAGAAAATTGTAGACCATTCAGTTTTTTTCGTTATTGACGATGATATTAATCTCCCCTCACGAAATCTTACCTTTGTGGTTCTTGTTCTTTCTTCTTTTTTAAGCACAGAGCATCCGGTTCATTTACAAAGCAATATAAATAATATGAATTGAATCATGTTATTTATTGAAGGAAAAAAAATTTCTAATAAACCTCAAACAAGTTTCATGTTTGACAGAAGGTTAGTTTAAAGTAACTTTTAAGCTAAGTAAAACATGATAAACAGAAATTTCGATCAGGCAAGTGTCAGAAATTCGAATTTCTACACAGATGATAGTCAAGCAAGTCATATTGGCCAAAACATTAGGGAACAAATCAACAGCTTCAGACGAACAAAATCCAAAATCACTAATTCAGATGTTAAGCAGGCACGTATAAATACCATTTTAATTTTAATTATATTTATCCAAACATAAAAATCTCTTTTTTTCCGTATAAACTTTACAGGTCAAACAACATTATCAAATTTTTACACATACTGGTTGAAATTGAGGTTATAGATAAAAATTATACCTCCAATATAGTCCATGGCGGTGGCTTCCGGCACGTCACGAGCCCGTCGACCGATGACTACTGCCAGCTCCACCTCGTGATCCAGCGCCTCCAGTGGCTCCGGCACTTCAATTTTGCCTCCGTTCTCTAAATACGACGTCGTTGGCTTCATGAACAACACCGGCTCCTTCAAACAATCAAACCACGGATAAAAAAAAATTTGATACAACATATTTTTCATCAATTTCTCCAAAGAGTAGGATTTTTTTCCGGATAATGACAAATTAAAAACACATAAATTCAAAATTTTAATACAACTTTTTGTATCAATTTTATCCCGAACGAGAAATTTTTCTATCATATGACAAATTAAAACACATTAATCAATAAACGATCAAAATAAAATAAAATATATCGTATACATGTACAAGTACATACTTTGGGGACGGCGTTCCCGAGTTCTTTGGCGTGGGCGGCGTAGTTACGGCCAACGGCGACGATTTTGGTTCCGACGCTGAGGAGTTTTTGGTATGCCGAGTATGACGTCGCCATTTTCGGGGCTTTCGAGATTCTTGTAGTACTTGCAAATACAATATTAGTACTAGGGAAAGCTGCTCCTATGTTGATCTGTGTATACATATACAAGAAAATGTATGCATAAGCAGGGGAGATTGATAGAGAAGCTATAAAATTCTCCAACAAATTGTTCAATTTCTATAAAAAGAGTAAATAGCAGCAAATGTCCCAATCTTTAATTTTATTTGCACTTTGGTTCCCGAACTTTTTTAGACTACTTTGTTCTCATCGCATATACAAGTGTTGACATCACATGGAAGAACATAGCGTTACACTTAGTCAAGTTCATAGGCTTATAAAACACCTTTTTATTTGTTCTTTGGGTGCCATAAATACGTTATTGTTATAAGCTCTTTATTATTAGAAAGACATTCCAATTTTCAAAATGGATATCTAAAATATATGTACGTTGATAATATTCGACATATTCTCATAGCGTGGAAGAACATAGTATCATGCCTAGTCAAGTTCTAGGCTTACGAACACGCCGTTTTATTTGTTCTTTAGTACTATGGATGTAATATTGTTAGAAGCTCTTTATTAGAAATGCATTCCAATTTTCAAAATAGATACTTGACAATAGTTGACATAGATAGGCTTACGAACACACCCTTTTATTTGTTCTTTGGTGCTATGGATACATTTGTTAGCTCTTCAATGGAAAGGCATTCCAATTCTCGACATGGTTAGTCATGTGAGCAAAATAAATTCTATCTTATTTTTTGACATTGAATGAATAATGTGTGAGACCATTACGGATTTGATCTTGCATTTTCCTTCTTCTTTTTCATCTTATTTGAACATTGCAATGTCTGCTTTATACAACTGCAAGATGTGTTCATATCAAAAATAAAAACTTCAATCATTTCATATGCAACATCAAGAGCTCTGGTTTTTCAATGAATAGCTTCCATTCATTGCAGACCCTAGCAACAGTTGTTCCGTCCAGAACTCTATGATCAGTACCGATATTCACCTGAGACGAAAATTTCATGTCAGCCAAGCTATAAACCATAATACAAGATTTCAGTACAAAATTTATAGCACCAAAATCGGCTATACTTCCTATTTGAATGTTCTTGAGGTACCAATATATGTTTGCATTTATGACATGCATGTCAAGTATATAAATTAGCATCATAGAAACAAAAAACGTGTTTCTTCAACTAGTGGAAGAGAAACAAGGTCGAGGTTCCTCGAGGACATTTAACTTGCTCCCGCAACTTAAACGTCTGAGTTGGGAGATTCTCCTTTCAAATTGAGATTCACACATATGAGAAGTTTCCTATAGCATGTTTTATAGACGAGAACTAGGAAACATCATACGCATTACACTAGAAGATAAAATAGTTCAGAGAAAATTTCATCAGTAGGGATGAGCACCAGTCGGAATGGTTGAGTTTGGCTAAAAGAAAAACCGAACTGAATGTTGGAAATGGTTTATTGAAATGGGTCAACTTTAAGTCCCAT